ATTTTTGGAGTAGTTTTTGGGGTTGTTGATGTTACTATTTTTGGAGTAGTTGGGGGTAATCCATATAAATTTTGTATATTTTTTTTATCTTCATCGGATAGGGTTGTTATATTTGGTGAAAAATATGCGTACATTAGTGCATTATTATCTGGTGAATGACTCAACCCCAAAGTATGTCCAATTTCATGAAGCAATGCGGTATATAGACTTGTTTTATCATTATCTTCAGGTACATCGAAACCAAAATACCAATTTTCATCTGAATCTAAATGAATTCTATTATTATTGTTTCGTTTGCATTAATGTGAAAGTTAATTGTTCTAAATAGCACCCCTCTATGAAAAAAACATATTTGTAAAACTTCACCTCCCCCATAATTGTCGTTTAACTCCACTTCTTCATAATAAAGATTTCCGCCCACTTTATATCCAACCTTTACAATCCTCCCCATCTGTATGGGTTTGTACAAGCGAAAATGTAGATTACTCCCAAAATACATTAAATTAATTTTTAGTAAATACGCGCACGACATTGCTTTATGTGGTTTTTACATCTACTTGTATCAACGTTTGTTATAGGATAGAGTGGTATAAAATCTATTTTTTAAAAATAGGCTGCATTATCTATTTTATTATACCGCAAAATATTTTTTGTTATCTGTTTAGAAGATGAAATGTAAATAAAACTCAAATCCTTTCTATAGTTTTTTGTAAAAATAAGTGTGAATATAGTTGAGCGTTTTTGGGTTTGTATGCTGCCATAAAGCGAAAAAAATACGACACTATTTTAATATTTTAGTTTATTTAACCGCAAATTTATATTACAAATCTTTTATAACAGCCTGTAGTTTTTTGTAACAGTTTTACAGTTTTTATAGCAGTTTTGCAGTTTTTCTATCGGTTTTTGCTGTTTTTCTATCGGTTTTTATAGCAGTTTTGCAGTTTTTCTATCGGTTTTTGCTGTTTTTCTATCGGTTTTTATAGCAATTTTGCAGTTTTTCTATCGGTTTTTGCTGTTTTCTAGCAGTTTTTCTAACGGTTTTTGCTGTTTTCTAGCAGTTTTTCTAACGGTTTTATTTTGCTTATTTTTCATATGTAATATTAAGAAATTGCGATATGAAATGTGGTTTCCTGTTTTTTATAAATGGTTTAAACAGTTTAAACAACAAATTGTTATTATCAACATGAATAAGAAGTGGTAAGTCGTGTTTTACATTTGGGGCAATTAAAACCTTAAAATTTTTGTAGTCAACTACTGGAATCGGAGGCGTTCGAAAGGGCCCCTCCGGGAACGCGTTTTGTTATTTGGGGGGATAACCCCCAAATAATTGTAAAAAAGGGTATGTTATATGGGTAGTATGGATTATTGGATAATTATCTTTTATTTTATTGTAGAGGAGTCGGCGGAGCGTAAAGCTCTAAGGTATTTTTGTGATATACATTCTTATTCTTTAATAATTTTAATTGTTTTAGAAAAGAAATAGAGAGGGTGGAACATCGGTTAAGGTAATTCTAGTATTACATTCTATCGTTAAAATAATTTCTTTCTTGTAGCATTTTGAGAGCGGCGTTGTAAGTTATTTTAGAATATATACAAAATCACCTTTAATTTATTATAATTTTCAGTCACGGTCTAAGAAGAAGGTAGGTAAACAATTGTTGATTAAATTATAATTTAAAAACAACTATTATTTTTTATAGAATAAAACGTGGATAAGGTTAATTTGTTTTATTTACCCCAACACCCTTGTCCCCTCCAGACAGAAAATGCTACAACCTTCTCGTGGTTTCTGTCGTTAAGAATAAATTTAATTAATTATTAAATTTATTTAACCAATAGTAGCAAAATTCCTAGCTCTCGAACTTCACCTATTTTAATATAGGTGCTTAAAGTGCTTTTAATAATATTTATCATTAAGTAGGAATATAGAGATCGCTTTTTAATTTTGATAAGCATTTCCAATGTTACAGTTTTTACAAATATATTCAAAAGTATTTTTTACTTAATAGAATTTTTAAGTGCATTCAAAATATGGTTTTTAATTTATCATTGTTTTTTATGCCTATTTATTTGTAAACGACACGATATATTTATTGTGGCGAAATATTGTGTAATAATTTTATCATTCACAGCTGCTGCCACGCCTCTTAAAATAATTTTTAATTAATTAGCGAAAATTCATTAGTCTTCCGTCCGTGGGCCGGCTATATCTCTGTGTTAAAAGTGTTCGTCTTTGACCGCAAAAAGCGATAAAAAATACGATACTATTTTAATATTTTTATTTATTTAACCGCCAATTTATATTACAAATTCTTTTTGTTTGTTCTTATCAGAACGCACCGCAAAAGTTTAATAACAATTTTAAACAGTATTATGTATTTTATAGTTTTTATACATTAGTTAAATTTATCTCTTTTTTTATATATATCTAATATCCTCTAATGACATCATTATCAGATAAGAGTTTCCTGCAAAATTTCATGGGTTACATATTAGTAAACATCATGACTCATATTTCGGCCGATCATTTTTTATAGCATCTCTAAGCGCCTGTTATCAATTCCGAACGGTAGCTCAGCAGGCAGCGCTTTCGACTCTGGTGCAGAGGGTCTCGGGTTCAATCCCTGAGGCTGATAGCGGCCAACTGACGGCGACCTTTGGTGGGAAAAGGTGAATTTGGCCTTTGGCAATCTTATGGCACCGCGTTGTTATTTTTATTATTGCGCGTACCCCCAAAACAGTTGGATAAAATGATGCAATGTTACGCAAGGTCAGCTGATAACATTGGAGCTCAGCGGTGTGGCCACTGGGTATCTATTATTCAGACGACCGATATTTTAGATAGAGGCCCCCATGATTTTCGGCGATGGGCCCGTTCGAAGGGGCCCCCGGGCTTCCTAAAAGGGGCCCCCATGGGGGGCGAGTCCGTGTCCAAAGTGGGCGGGGCTTAGCGGGTCGGGAAAAAGTGGAGGGGGTAAAGTGGGCGGGGCTTAGCGGGTCTGAAAAAGTGGAGGGGGTGGTCTCAGGCGACGCCTTACCTACTCTCTCGCTTGTTCGCAAAAGCTATTTGAATATATATTGTTGAATATTGTTGGTTTATTTTGATTTTTAGGTTTAATATTTTCTACCTGCCCCCTAGAAACGCCACTGGCAAAATGTATTTTTGTATTTGTCATAAATAAAGTGTAGTATGCAATTCGTTTATTTAACACTCGCTCTTTAAGCTTCGCTCGTGCCCAACTAAAATTCGTAAATAAAATACCGTTTATGAAACTCAGAGGCAGATTTACAAATTTGCCGCCTATAGGCTGAACCAAATTGCCGCCTACTAATTTAAAACAAATATTTGATGTTGACAAATAAATAAATTTAGAATCAATAAATTGTATTTGTTTAAAATTACCAAATTTTTATCTTAGTTCTTCTTCCTTGGTTTCAATGTACCATATTGACCAGCAACAAGTTTTAACGTCCATGCTCTTTAGGAAGCCATCCACCCATAGACACGTGAATTTTCCAATCTTGGAACATCCACCAAATCTTTTGTAAAAATCACAAAATACCTCGCTAAAAGGTCAAATTTTGCGACATTGTCAAAAAATACAGGTACCTATATTTCCATACCCGGAATACAATGTTGTCCCTACTAGAAGAAGTCATCTATATTTCATACTTTTCATTGAGCGATCCGCATTAAGTTAATACTTTGTTACTAGTGGCCACGGAAAAAAATTTACATAATAGTCTGTAAAAATTCGTTAACTGCTGACAGTATTGAAGCCATCTAACCTCATAATTGTTATTATAGTTGTAAGGACGTTTTATGTATCGTTTAACAAATAAACTGTGCCCTAAAGATAAAATGTTGTATGCCATTTGGCTGAGACGTGTCTTTTTATACCTCGCTTAATTGTAGGTCTACGCCAACGCAGCGTTCAAACTTTGAGCTAAGCACTAAAAGACTCAGCCTTATGAAATAAATACCTTTTATGCACGATGACATTATAATATGACAATTATAACAAAAATTCTTTGACGTAAACGTCTTTTTATAGCCCGCGGGCGTTATTATGGCCCAGCGGGCTATAATGAAACGTCAAAAATTAAAAACAACAATGTTACACCATTTGATATATTCGAAGTAAGTTTTTTCGTATAAAGATTTTGATTTTACCGGCAGCAGGCCGCAATTTTTCGCCTTTTCAGCTGCTTCCTCAATTTCATTTATCTTTAAACTTTAAAACTGACTGATGTCAGTTGAAATTATAATATGACAATTATAACAAAAATTCTTTGACGTAAACGTCTTTAAAAACAATAATATATTAAAAATAATAATATATTAATCGTGCATAAAGTTTTGTATGCATTGCTGGCATAACTGGTTTTTATGGTCCTACGACGCTTTTCTAGCCCTCGCGCTGACGCGCTCGGGCTCGAAATAGCGCCTCGGACCATAAAAACCTTATTATGCCCTTAATACATAAATAACTATTATGCACGATGACATTATAATATGACAATTATAACAAAAATTCTTTGACGTAAACGTCTTTTTATAGCCCGCGGGCGTTATTATGACCCAGCGGGCTATAATGAAACGTCAAAAATTAAAAACAACAATGTTACACCATTTGATATATTCGAAGTAAGTTTTTTCGTATAAAGATTTTGATTTTTCCGGCAGCAGGCCGCAATTTTTCGCCTTTTCAGCTGCTTCCTCAATTTAATTCATCTTTAAACTTTAAAACTGACTGATGTCAGTTGACATTATAATATGACAATTATAACAAAAATTCTTTGACGTAAACGTCTTTAAAAACAATAATATATTAAAAATATTAAAATATAAAACGTGCATAAAGTTTTGTATGCATTGCTGGCATAACTGGTTTTTATGGTCCTACGACGCTTTTCTAGCGCCTCGGACCATAAAAACCTTATTATGCCCTTAATACATAAATAACTATTATACCTAATTGTTTTTTTATTTATTTTAGGCAATGCAGCATATTTTACAATACGAAATGTCGAAGTAAAAATTCCCATTAACAACAAGTTACTTCCTAATAATCATCCAATTATTACATTATACGCTCAGGATAACTTAAGCAAGAGTAATGGAAACTCTCTTAGATACTTCATTAATGAAACTAATGGATATATGCTAGCATATTCCACAAAAGGCGATATATTATTTACTCATAAATTTTTAGATGGTAAAGGTAAGTAATTTATTTTTAAGTTATGAATACAACCAATACCTAATTTTATTAGATAACATCGATTATAACACATCCCATCCGAAAATTCCTTTTTTTTATATACAATTAATAATACAGCTCTACACCTAAAATTGTCTTTACAAACTTAGGAGATTTTAAGGAAAGTAAATAAAGCAAAAAATAACTGAAAATTTATATGTTAATATACCATGTATGTTAGCTTTATTGTAATTTGGTCTATTAAATAACAAATTATACACATGTTTTTCTTGAAATGCCACCAAATACATGATTTTAGTATAATTTCTTCAGTAATACTAACTCGGCAGATTATTGATTGTCAGTAGCGCTAAGTTTTAGCACTCTGGAGCAGATGAATAATAATGACGTAAGCTAACACGGTCAGAAAGACACTGGGACATCCTCGCAACATGCTTGCTTAATCTGCAAAAAACTGTTATTTGTCTGAGCATAACTAACAATCTTATAAACACAATAAAATAATAATAATACTAATGTAAATCCCAATAATATCATGGGGAACACAGCCTGAGCCTACTTTTAGGGAACTGATATATATATATATATATATATATATATATACATATATATATATATATAGACGTATCATATGCACATCCGAGTCCCGAAATAAATGTGAATCATACTAAACGAGGCCCGTTTTGCACAAGCGAGTCCCGAAACCGGGCCTCGCATTGAAAGTGTGTGTATATACGGTTATTATACTTGACCTGACCCCCCTGGACCCAACTGACAATTTTGTTTCGGGACTCACAAATGATGTGTATATCACCTCTTATACGGTTTTTAGTTCATTCAAATACGAAGTAGGGGTCGCTGCAATAGTTCTGTATATAACTCGCGTAGAATTGCGAGGTTCCCGTATATACGTTAAATTTAAAAAGTGGTTGTCGGCTCCGAGTCCCTTACATATGACAACAGCGCTTTTTATTAAAGCACATAACAATCGTCTTTTTAAAGCATTATTATAATAATTAGCTACTGGGGAACGGCAATTTAATAAACAGATACATTTTCATTTTATACATATTTTGGCACTAAGTTTCGCGCTCTATGGATTGATGTACACGTAGACCACAGGATATGTTCTTGATAACAATTATCTTATCCAAAGTTTTGGTAATATGGTATTATTTGTCTAGTAAAAAAGTAAATGTGTCCTGGGTATTTTCCCTTTCTTTTTTATACTGCACTATTTAATATACAAATAATGTAATAAACTGCTCGTCATAAAAATCGACGCACCTAGTTTTTTAGAAAATATTTGAAAGCTCGTTATTAGAAAATTACTTAATCAATTTTGAAAATCTTTGGAAATTCTGAATAGCTGATTCTTTGACTCTCATGTCTAATTTTGCGAATACGGCCCAAAGCCATTTGTAACATTTGTTTCGAATGATTCATCCTGACGTTTGATCAGCACTGTGCACCATGTAACAAAATTTGTTATTTTTTTTTATTTACATGGTTGGATACTCACAGATAAAATCCAAAATTAGTATCCTATAATATTTACAAACAATTATCAATTTACATATAAATTTTAAAAAAAGAACAATAATATACAATATTTACATTTTTACAGACAATCTTTTTTTAAGTTGTTTTTTAAGAAGTGTTTGAACAAATATCAAAATTATTATTTAATAAATTATAATTTCTTATCATTCGATTAATTGGAGAATTATAGCCTAAGTTTGTCCTACTTGAGTTGGTAATAAAGAGATGAGTTTGTCTTGTTGGTTTAGATGGTATATTAAAATTTATTTGCGAGAGGAGTTGTGGGCAGAATTAAGAATTTTATGCAAAAATATCAAATCGGCGATGTTTTTTCTTTCTTTTAATGTAATTAAATTTAGATCGCGCATAAATGTGTCAAAATCATCAATATCATAAACAGCATACAATTTAAAATAAGTAGGTACTCCTTCAATTCTCTGCAAGTATGTAGCATAATACGGATTCCAAACAACAGATGCAAAATTCAGTTTACTATATATAAAGGCGTAGTATATAATCTTTATGCTGTCTATCAGGGATGTTGCGAATATTCGCATCCGCATCCGCAAATGCGGAGCTTCCGCATAGATTTGGACATCTGCATCCGCATCCGCAATAATCAATGCGGATGTTCATGCGGATGCGAATGTTATACAAGGCCACAAGAAAGAAATTGGGCGGGGCCGGCGAATAGCGCGTGCCGTTCGCAGTGCGCACGTGATCATTTGTTTCTTGTAAATAAATCATTACGTGTTTGTTTTCGCCGTAAATTACTTATCGTATACTACAGGGATGTTGCGAATATTCGCATCCGCATCCGCAAATGCGGAGCTTCCGCATAGATTTGGACATCTGCATCCGCATCCGCGGATGTGAGCCTTCAAAAATCCGCATCCGCATTCACATCCGCGGATGTGAAAAAATCGGCATCCGCAACATCCCTGCTGTCTATGTTTCGTAATATTTTTGAGGTTCTTATTAAAAATCCAAGTAACTTATTACATTTGTTTACCATATTTTCAATATGAAGGTTAAATGAAAGTTTAGAGTCAAGTAATAGGCCTAAATCTTTAATTGTTGATACGCGAGTAAGGTTTGAATTTTTTATTTTATAAGTGAAGTCTATGACATTGATATTTTTTGTGAATGTGATAAAAGAACATTTGTCAAGGTTTAAAAAGAGTTTGTTGTTCCCACAAAAATAGCAAAATATATCCAGATCCTCCTGCAGCTTTTTAGAGTCCTCCAGGCAATGTATTTGTGCAAATATCTTCAAATCATCAGCATATAACAGGTACTGGCAGTTTTGAAAACATTCCGAGACATTATTAATGTAAATCAAAAATAACAAGGGCCCTAAATGAGACCCTTGTGGCACTCCAGATGTTGAGTAATATTGAAAGAATTCAAATCCGTTCGTCAGAACTGCCTGCGTTCTACATGATAAATATGAAGATATCCACGATAACAATTTTCCATGAATACCGATCCCAGCTACTCTCTTGATTAAAATATTATGGTTTACTTTATCAAAAGCCTTACTAAAATCGGTATACACAGAGTCTATCTGGATTCGTTTGTCAAGGGATTTTAACAAATATTCTATAACTATAAGTACTTATAAGTAACAGACAAGGTTGGATTCCACAGATCTTTTTGAGAAAAATCCATGTTGCTCCAATATTATTTTGTTTTTTAATTTGTAAAAAATTATGTCATAGACAACACTTTCAAAGATTTTGCTTAAAACATTGAGTTTGGAGATAGGTCTATAATTCTGAAGGTTGCATCTATCGCCACTTTTATATATTGGAACGACATGTACTCTTTTCCAAAGGTCAGGAAATTGACACATTGACAGTGATTTATTATACAAAATAGTAAGTGGTTTATACAGACCTATAGCACACTTTTTGATAAAGAAAGAACCCAGGCAACACAGGGTCGTAGAAATCACGTAGAATCGTCGACGAATTGGGTCGAATTTGGTCGAAGTTACATTTCAACCATTTTTCGACGTCTCAAAATTCACCAAAACACGACCAATTATTAACTTAGGTCGATGATAACCAATAAATGTCGTCATTATCACGTGAACAGATGACGAAATTTTTAAGAAAATATGAAAATATAGTGATAATTAATAAGAAACAGTTGGCCCGTTTTAATGGGCCGACAAAAAGTTTTGGAATATTTTTAAAAACAAAAATTATTATTTTTATTTAATTTACGTTATTTCGACGGAGAATCAACGTGCAATATTTTATTAAAATAATTTTAAACATTATTTGGTTTTAAACTAGATAGATTAATAATTATTGATCAATGGATTTTTTAAAACAAATTCGCGATTTTTAAATCCTTTATCATTTCATCACAAAATAAGAAATAAACATGTTACTGCAGTTGACAATCACAATTTTAATTTTAGTAAAATTATTTATCTACAGTGTTGCCAGATGTTTTATAATTTTATTTTTTAAAATAGTAAAATTTAAATAATAATCGATAATTGTAACATAATTTAATCCGCCGCGTAGTTTTGCTTGTTTTTATACAATTTTTGTTTAGATAATTTTATGTAATTTTCTGTCAACCCTCTTCGATAATATTAATTTTTACACCTGGCAACCCTGTTTCTCTTTGACACTACTTACAAATTTGCTTAAGCGAGGGAACGTTTATTCCTAAAAAACAATATGGTTGATTTTCCAACTTTTATAATCTGATAATGATAATACTTTGGCTGTGTCAGGTAGGTCAATTTTTGTTTATTTATTATTGTTTTTATTACTCAGTATATTCCGTAACGAAGTCATAACACCTAAATGAAGTACCTACATAAGCTCCTAAAATATTGACCTGTCATCTGTCTTAAAATTTAATGTGTTTGATTTTATAATAAATGTTTTGAGCAACTTAAAACATGTTTTATTAATTATTAAACCAAAAGCCCTTTATGCACTAGTAAAAATAATTATTTATTCTTATATCCGATATATATTTTAATGCCAGACATATGTGTGTGTTTCTGCAAAGATTAACTAACAAATTTTTTTTTGATATTCTACTTTTTTACATACATTTATTTTGATTATTAATTATTTACTAAATATATATCTACTATAGTAGTATATATATACTATATATAGTAGGGTTTACCTATTTAATTCTTAAAATTTAAAAGTACAACTAAAAATTTTTTGTTTTTTTAATTTTGACAAAATCACATTTTGCATTGAAATATCTGATATCAGTATCGGTAATTATTTTTATCAGTGTATGACCTAATCATATATTATTCAAGAAATATTACGTGATTATTTACGTCAAATTACGTAAATAATTACGTATTATTACGTGATTTTACACGTGAAATCGCTGTGACATATTGTCGTCAATTTTACGACGATAAGACGTGTCTAAGTTGGTGACTTCGACGTCACCGCAGACGTAAA